TGTATCATTATTTTATTTTTAATGAATATGGCTGAAAACGTAATTAATTATTTTGTACCATCCCGATTTAATATAAATTGCGTTATATCCAATTTTATTAAACCAGACTACCCAAACGGTTATTGAGATAGGTAAATTAAACTGCGATAGAAAACTAAAGTCATGATTTGCATACACATTGACAATGCTTTAACTACCATTAAAGATTGCTGTATGTGAAAGCATTAAAGTATGATCTTTTGCAAAAATATTATGTAAAATAAAAACTACAAACCAGTAAGTCAGTTAATACAATCAACAATGATAGAATACGAATAAGTTATTTAAACATGGTTTTTTTTCTGCGTTGAGTCAGGCATCGATGGCTGTAACCCACCAAAATATTGCATATCCCCTAAAAGATGGTTCACCACTGTCCATCAAAGACATAAAATAATATGTATGATGCTTGAGTAATTTGCACGCTTTCGTGCAGGAAAGGGTGAATAGTTGAATTTAAACTACTCCAAATATACTGATCGAGAGAAGCCAAGATAGCAAATAAATCCATTTACGCAATTGAAAACTTTCTCTTTTTGGACTTATAAAATACGCATTATTGTGCAAAACTGTGTTTTTATCAAGAGAACAGTAATGATAGATTCTGCACGATGGATAGTAATCAGACAACGCGCAATATTCTCTAAACACCGTAAGTTTATCTTTCACGCACAAAAGACTACATTATTCACATGTTGCCACAAAAATATGTATTCGGGTCTTATAAGGTTTAAGAAAAAGTAATTGGGCATAATTTCTAAAATAAAGCAGGCACAGCTATTTAAATATTTTAAATTTAATATTAAAAATCGTTATCTCAGAAATGAGTAACTCTGGGTTTCATAAGTGTTTGACAAAGCAAGTTCTGACACACGTTCTTTTGAAATAGTGGCACATTCAAACTCACTGGACAATACCACGCATACGTATTTTCCGTACGTGACTCTTTAGTCAGTTGATACAATACGGTAATGATGTAAAAACGCGATAATCCTAAAATTATAATAGTGTTACATTTTACAAGTAATAAAGTAATAACCAACCTGGAAATAACTGAATCTTCTTGAACTAACTCGTGTCGACTTATTTGTTATCTGCTCTAACCAATCTGCTGTATATGTAATGATGTCATAGCTTGTAGGTTTATCAATAAGAACTATTCAATTCATTGCATATAGTAATAGGCATCGAATGCATTCTTCGCATTGTCTTTTATAAATGAATTCAAAACATCTAGTACCAGTAGTCGAATCAGAGATTTTGGTGGTTTACACGCATTTACTCTCATTTCGTTCCTTCGTTAGATAATGCTTCGGAGCATTTGCGTCGTATATGAACCAAACATTATTATGTAACTCTTGTACGTAAATGCGGGTTTAGGGTCCCTGGATGAATTTACATAGTGACGGATTTACATACGACATAACAGTAGTCTCCGACTAAGATCGCTCAAAGAATTTTTTTAGGAAATTATTTAGATCTTAATTATATAAGTGATTAGATAAGATTAGATATTACTATTACATATCTGCAACACATATAATTTAGATAAAGCGCTAAGTATAAACGATAACACCGGTTATTGTAAACAAGTCGCATTATAAAGAGCACAAAACCATTTACTATTAGCAAGTTATGTCTTTGGTTTGCTGACTAAGATATTAATATAATCGAAATTAGAATAAACAAGTATCGAAACGTTTGGTACTTACTAGCGTTATTGGTTACTTTATATTACCATCCACTTATCTATCTCGATTTATCTATAGCAAATTTATCTTGAAATATAATTTTTAGATGACAGTACCAAATAGGTTTGGTGAGTTTTCCAGCTTTCGCTGCGGCCATAGGGAGTGTGTTCCGCTTCGGATTCGAGATAAGTGCATTTGGTAATAATAATTGAAATGTCCAAACTTGGTTGCTTATTAGCAATCTGTGTAAGCCTGATTACAGTGTGTGAGCCACGAACGTAAAAACCTTTTAGCCTATGCAAAGCTCAAGCTTTCTGTCAACATAAGCACGTAGAAAGCGCGTACACAGCTATATTATATTACGTGTATGTATGCAGTAGATATTACTCGAGCATTTTAACATCAGATTAACCGTTTAAATTCTATCAAGGTTTGTAAATTAAATTAATGCAAAAATCGGAGAGTAATCCATTGACTTCTTTAACTGCGGGTTTGTCTACCTGCTTGTCTACCTGCTTGTCTACCTGGTTTGCATTATTTACTCAACGATTATGTTGATAGTTTTGCTTGCAACAATTTTGCGTGTAGATGTTGTGTCTGAGTGGGGACCTGTCTCAGTTCGGAACTCAGTCACTCAGTCCAGAACTCAGTTGTCTCAGCCCAGAACTGAGACAGGTCACCAACTGAGGTACAACATAGATATTCACTCCACTTGCATTAAATTTGCGCGGAGAAGACCAAATGTCGTGCGGCGTATGGAGATTTAAAATGCCGCCTTTAATTTTGTGTTCAGGTTAAGTAACACCATGCATGACGGTAATATTTTGTCTTACATGAACAATGTCTTAAATTATGTCTTGTTAAAACCGATGTTTGTGTTTTGCTCATTACACATTAGGAATTAAGTATAAAACTTTTTGATTTTATCGTCGCTAATATTTGCAGCCAATAATTCTTGATTTAGTGCCAGAACATTAAAAACATTACCTAATATGTACTGTAATACACGTGACTAATACTTAAAAAATACAGTGTTTGATAAAGAGAACAAATATGCGGTAAGCTATTATAATTACGGTCGCTACAGAAAATTGGTAGAAAGTGGTCTCATTGCGATTATGAAATAGTGCTGTATGTTATGTACAGTAAACGTCTTAAAATTTACGAAAGCACGGCCTAATACTAATCAACATTTTCTTCATTGAAGCAAGGGAAACTGTAGGTGCTACCTTGTGCAATAGAACAAACAAGTGAGTTTAAATTGTCCAGTGCGTAATTTAGTATCAAACCCCTTCTTTGGATTACAGACAGCTCATAATAGATAAGTAATTGCACTTTTATGTAATGCTAATGTAGCGCAACGATATTACTGCAATTCAAAATTGGATAGTCGTTATTATCGTTATTGCTCAAATCTTGATCAAACTTGTTTGAATATACAAATTTCTGTAAGTATACTTGAATAATATGGAGGCCGCTTGGCTTGTTTGTAAATGTACAAATCGTATAAGTTTACTATAAGTTAATATAAACAAATGTATGCAAGAGTTACACAAGCAAATAAATTGATTTGTGTTACTGCTGCCTTGATTGTCAAAGAATATTGCCGATAACTTTAAGAAATTTATTAACAGATTATAAGTTCAATGCAAAATTTTAAAGGAAACTGCATACCGATTGCTCTCTTGTTTGTTGCACAATTATTATTTTCTTATATGATTTTCTATACGGAATTTCTTAACCTTGCGTTTGTGTGGTATGTATGGTGTGTGTTGTTGTATGTATATGTGTGTGTGTGTTGTTGTTGTATGTGTGTTGTTGTGTGCGTGTGTGTGTGTGTGTGTGTGTTTTTTTTTTTTTTTTTTTTTGTTTTTTTTTAATCTTTAATTGGTTTCTCAATTCAATCGCTTATTTTAATGTCAGCGTTGAATTAATCCATTGAGTATATGCTGTGTAAGTGTCAAAAAAGGATGCTACTTGTTGCTGCATTTCCAGTCTTTGTCTTGTTACTTTATTTTTATTTCCCTCCTTCTGAATACGAATAATGCATTATAAACAATAGGAGCATACACCAAGAACAGTAAATTATATTATCATGTTACGAGCATTGTATTTTGTGCAAAGACAAATACGCAATGCGCACGGTACCAATGAGATAAGTACTACTCAATCATTTTAACTGTTAAAGCATTGAAATTCTCCGTAGTTGATTTCAGTATGTGCTCTTTGACTATCTGAATGTTCAATATAATGTAAAAACCATTCCCCGTCATAACTCACCATAACCGTCTGCTCAACGGCATGTTACAGTTATTACTAGTTGTGGCTATTATTATCTATAATTTAACTATACAGCGATTACTAGCTGCACTGCACTATTGCCGAGATTATCCGTGTAATATTTGATTACCGTCGAATCTTCGATCATGGCAGATATCAGCCCGCGTGGTATACAATAGCATACTGTATGCAGTAAATATTGTTGTACATCTCAAGAACTGATTGCCAAGAGCTTTATTCTAGTTGGGGCAGATTATACGATTGCCTCTCTCTTTTTATTTTTTCGTTCTTTTGCTTATATTTGTACGCAAATGGAAAGTTCTTTTATTAAACACAAATTGCCGTTTTGATAGACTGGGGTATCACAAGATATATGATATTAAGCAATCGCACTATGATCATTGCCATTTAAGTAACCATATACGATAAGACCTTTAAACTTGCTTTTTATATCGTTAATCGATGTCCTTGTCCAGTCATTTGATGTCACTTTGTGTACAAAAGTAATTCTTGACAAGAATTTCCAAGTCAAAACAATATTTTCGTAACACATTTAATTAAACAAGATAAGTAAATTGCGTAATACAAAATGATTAATAAATACCGTTCGCGTCAAAGTAAAGAATTTTGGTTGTCGAAAGTTAGAGACTTTCTGAGAAAGAAATTCACCGAGATAACGAGTATTATCTCCCCCCACCCTCATTACCCTCCCCACCCTCATTATCCTTCCCGCCCTTCCTCTCTTCATCCCACGGCGGATATATTATTATTTAACCACATCCCACCGCGCACACATATATTACTCAACCCGCCTCTTTCACCCGAGTCTATCGCTTTCCACCAAATTATATAGCGATTACCAAAGACTGCTAATCCCGCTATCTCAAATTTCTTTCTAGTCTCTCACTTTTACTAGATAACAATTAAGCCATCATATCCACTTTTTAATTACTGTTTTACCACCAACCACACTATCACGCATTGAACAACATGTCCAAGCTTATTTTAATCCTCCTAGTATTCTCCCTCTTCTTCACGCACGCACTCTCTCTCCCTACTAAACGTCGTCCCAAAAGTGCATTTACCATGTACTGGGTTACAGCCGAAGCTGATTTCAAACCGTCCGGCAAAACAACCATTGGCAACTGCCAAGGAAGACCACTCGCTACGGTAAGAACTAACTTTGCAGAAGCTTTGAGGATCGAAGGTACTGGAATAACACTTAGTGGGAAAATGTTTAATCTCGCCGATTGTGACTGCGGTAATGGATTCAATTGCTTTGCTGAAGTAAACACGGCAACCCATCCATTCGGGATAACTTCAGATGATCAACCACTCGACCCGTTCGCAAGCGTTGCTGCGAATGACTTTCCAATTGGAACTAAACTCTTCATTTCTGCGATTAAGGGACTAAAATTACCCAATGGCTCAACTCATAATGGATGTGTGAGGGTAGCTGATCGTGGATACGGATTTGGTGCAAACCATGTCGACTGGTTTGTTGCGAGAGAGGCCATCTATAACGCAATTGCAGATAATATCCCGGAAAGCGTTGTCGTAAAGAAAACTGATTGCCAGTTGCTGAAGTATGCGGAGGGAAATACGATCTAAAAGTCAATGCATGATGAATTTAACGTGTGCAGACTTTTATCGATGACTGGATTCATTGAATCTCTAATGATTTGGTTTTTGGATAAAGCCTATTCGATGGTTATGACGAACAGATATTTCATTGATTGAAAGTGATATGGATGGACGAATGTATATTTGTTATAATGATAATACCATTGCATCCTTTTTTTTTATTAATGTTCGTCACTGATAGTGTTTTGTATATACCACATCTCCATTTTTACAAGTGTGTGGTTTTTGTCATTAGACGATAAATTTTGGGTACTGTCTTATAGAGTTAGATACTCGTTTAGTTATAGCTGTCGCTATTTGGGTCTATTGGTATACAAATGTTATTAAGCTTGAAGCTTACGTAATAAACAGTACCGGATATTTGAAAGAACTAAATTTAATTGTCGTTTGATGTGCCAACATAATTGAATTGACAACTACAACGTACTTATCGACTAAATTAGGCAATAAATTTAGTGGATTTCCTAAATAGACTATTAGAATTGGACGAGGCGGTTTAAAATTTGGTTTACAATACGCGCAGCAAAGGTTTGTGTATTTAGTTGTCAAATTGAGATTTCTCTCTTTACTGAGAGTCTCTGCATAATGTATATGCCATTCTGTGGAATTTACAGTAACATTGAAACCGTCAGTATGTTTTAGACCACACAAGTTGCTTTAATATTAATATGCCAAACAGCAGTAAACATGATATTCAAAACGATAACAATGGGCCTGCATGATATGGGGCATGCTGCCGTTGTTTTTCCGTAAAGTTTCTCGATCAATCCAAAACTACCATCACACTTGAATTTAGTATGTCCAGGTACCATAGAATTTAATTCGATACTTTCAAATTACTAAATATAAATACAGGTAAAATCAAACGGGATTATTATTTTTATTCTGTCCACCCGTATTACCGCAAGTAATTTTTCACCCTCATTCAATTTCTTTATTCCATCGAAAACCGTGTTCAGTGTGCCATTAAGACTTTTCCCTATAATTTCTCGTACTGCTTCATCTTGAATACCAAATAAATGCACTTTACGCGGACTGAGATAGTAAATCTTACTGACTTGTTGATCAGAATGCGGTACGTGAAGATTTTGTGATGAGCTGTGGCATCAACGTTACAATAATTAGCTTTACTTTTTGGTATAAAATGCTCATCTACCAATTTTCTCTGTTGTTCTGCTAAGCTAATTTCGTATTTTTTTTTTTTTTTTAAATTAATCTCTCTAATTTAGCCTTAACCAAATATTTTTTGTATTTTTTCGACAAATCTGTTGTCTACGAGCATTACACTGTGAGCCATTCCGAAACCGCTGACATGTATCGCATAAATCCATTCTTGGACTCGTGATTTGAATGTAAGGCGTTAGTTGGTGTCATAACTTGCGGAATGCGTCATATTTTAACAAATTCAACGTGCTATCGTTTTCTAGCCCTGCAATAAAATCACGATAGACCGACTTGTAACTCGTTTCGGCTGGCAAAAGTGCAAGTAATTCGGTTGACATTTCTACCAGGACTTGGTAGTCCATGAATTTCAGCATAGTTTCGAGAAAATTTTTCACGGTGGTAGCAACGGTTATATCAATGGTAATCTTGGTTTTCCATTGCGGCACTTTTTTACATTACCATGAACGCGTGGTATTATACCATTCGTTGCTAGATGATTTCTGAATGAGTGCGCCAATGCCTAACATATTAAGATACGTTTTCTGACAAAGTGGCGTATTGCGATCTCAATAATAAAAAGTTTTCTTATTAGTACGCGCTTTTTTTTTAAGACGTTGGCTGGCAGTTATTTCTCCACTATTCATCGCTTTCAACTGGGCCATTAAAAATATGTCTTGCTCAGATCTAGAGAGAGCTTGAAATGCTTCATGTAATTCAGCAAACTTTTCTCTCGTAATCTTTTTTGAACAGCCACAATTGCAACCTATATCCAAGAAACGCATTGCGTTTTCGCATTCAGTGGAGCCATCATAATTATCATTTTCATATACAGGTACTCCTATATATAGTTTACTGCTACTGTTATTTTTATTAGTTTAAATTTGAGTAAATCGTTATGCATAGGCATAAAAACTAAGAATGAGACATAATGCTCAGGAAATGACTCAATGTGAATTTCAAGATTAAAGTGACTAAAGATGCTCGAGTTGACAGAGCATTATTTGTATATTAATGGGAGCATGTTTTTTACTGATATTCTCTCTTTTTTTAAATGCAGTTGTACGGAATCAGGCCATGCAAATAGCAATTTATGCAAGCAATTGACGAATTCTCTTGCTCTGACCACATCATCATCATTATTACTATTAACACCATCTTTTCTGTATCTACCATTTCGAGGGTTCGTTTTTCGCAGGTAGAAGTTTCTTAAAGTTGAGGCGGTAGCACCCTCCCCCGCCACTTTAACAATTTGAATAGGTTTACCCAATTCACGATTTGAGCGATGTGCACCCAATAATGGTTAAATCACATAAACAAATGGATAAAAATGGACAAAGACTCCAATTATTGTCCTACCTCAAGTGTATCAGAAACGCGTATCAATATCAGAAACAATGTTTTTTGCATATCGTGAAATCGTTACTTGTGTTCTTCGACCGCTGGTTACAGAACTTTTTTTGACATTTATTATTATTTATATTGTAATTAACTGACGATAATTCGACTTGTACGTTAATTCGATCGATAACCTCGGAACGCAAGCAGTCGAATTATAGGCA